TACAGAGTCAACACACTCCGCATTGGTGTAAAATAGACAGCACAATACAGATATGCTGAATCAAGTAATAGGAGGACTCTGTCCATGTGCGTTAGTACAGCATTTATGCAAAGTGTTTTACAAGAAAACTTGTCAGTTTACAGTCTAAAGGTTATATGACAAGAAGTGTCAGAGAAAATTAGAAACGGATAGCCATAAAGTTTAGGGTGCATTTGCAATAATGGTTAGGGTGCAAAATAGTAAAAGCAAGCAATTAGGGAAGAAGTGGTTAAGTAGGTAATTAGGGAGGATTCCGGGAACCTGGAGTGACATAGCCCTCCATTTTATAGTTTTGGATAAGCGTCTCAAATTATTTATTATTTTTGGATGAACTTTTTTTTTCATTTTCAAAATATTTTTATTGAGGCGTTTTTCATAAAAAACATAACAAAACAATATAATTATAAAATAATATTACAACAAATAAACAATGAAAAAAATAGGTGGAATGGGGGTTCCTTCTTACATATCAGATAAAATGTTAGAATGTCAAATGTTTACATAAATAAAGTATATAACAAAGAGTGTACCAATTTACAAGTAGATATCAACTCAACAGTTACCCCTTGTAAAAGCATAGGGTGTGTGGAGGTATTTATATATGGTAATTCTTTTTTATTTCATTTTCCATGTTGTCCCAGTGAAACCTTAACAGAGCAGAATGTTGGGATGATTTTCGCAATCCCAGTTCTTCCCTCTTGTTATCTACTACTAGAAGAGTACAACCTCCTTGATAAATGGAACAGTCTAAGATTTCCAAAAACAAGGTGTCATTTTTTAAAAATGTTAAAAAAACAAAAAATATTCCTATTAAAAATATATATATCAACATATCGTAAAATAGCAATATATTAAAATATTTTTACATTTTAAATAATTTTAAAAATGTACCCAAAACATTAACTCTTTAATCTCGCAGAAACCTTCACTGTTTTGACCTACAGGAATTCTCCACCAACCTCCAAACTCTCCTTTTACCCATCTCAAACCTCACCAGTCCTCTCCTTCACTCAATTTCCATTAATTCAAAAAACATTGATAACTAACTTCTTTAGGAAAGTGTATCAATTAAACTGTTAACAGCTTTCCCTCCCCACACTCAGTTTTCTCTCCTGCAACTGTCATAAAAAACACACCCACTATGCCCTCAGTGAAGAATACTTTTCTAGCAACCTAGTTTTCTACCAACCTAGTTTTCTACCTTGCCCTTACCTTTTGTGTCACTATACCCCACTCCCTGTAGTATGTAAGCTTATTAAGTATGGCCCCCAACCAGTTTCAACTCAGTCTCTCAACTCATCTGGCTACAATTACATTCTGTAAGTATACCCAATGTACAGCACTGCGGAATTTGTTGGAGTTATATAAATAATAATAATAATATTATATAAATAATAAATAAAAAATGTGAACCACTTACTTAAAAGTATTAATTTGAGGACCTAATGAGGTCCATCTAGTGGATACAATCATATTGAAGGTAACATCATCATGATTGACAGACTCATTGCAGTATTGGATGCTTCCGAATGGCCGAATTGCCAAACCGAACCGAATTGCCAAAATGCCGAATTTCAGAAGTGCTGAAGTGCTTCGGATTTCTGAAAAGTGACAAAACAGGAGAGGGAGGGAACATTAAGGGAATGATGACAGGAATCTAACCCTACCCCTAACCCTACTCCTAGTCCTAGCCGTAACCCTACCCTTAACCCTTCCCCTAACTCTACCCCTAAGCTTGACCCTAACCCTACCCCTAACCCTAACCCTAACCTTACCCCAACCTTCATCTAACCCTACCTCTAACCCTTTCCCTACTCCTACCCCTAACCCTACCCCTAGTAGATTAGGGGAAGGGGTACGGGTAGTGTTAGGGGCAGGGTTATGGAAGTCCCGAAGTCCCGAACCACTAAAAACCTGAATTGCCGAAGTTCCGATATTCGGAAGTGCCGAACCAAATTTTTGGCCCATGCAGATCCCTAATTGCGAGTCTGTCCTCATTGTTTTTGGACTACATGTAGAGTCTTGCTTCGAGATCAACACAGTATATTTTCTTTATGTACACAGGTTAAATGGTATTGCTTGTAGCTGAAACAGCTAACTTTTAGCTGTACGACCCCAGCTAACTTTTCATTTAATGAGCACATTTTGTCAGCACGCAGTCTTCTTTTTACTTGTTAAGAAACACTCTCCACCTTTGTCTATAACCAACTGTAGAAATGACAAATCTTTTACAGAAATCAAGTACCAAAACTAAAAGTGCCCAGACACTTCACTTTTTGTTATTTTCTGGCCTCTCTTCCCATTAAAGTTCCCGTTTATTTCCATTAAAGTAACCTGTGAAAAAGTGCCCTTCGCCACTTGGTACTGGAGAGGCCTGCTTGCCAGCCTCCTTCCCTGTGACTATGACTCTTTGATGTATTTGCCTTTAAAGCCCCTATTCTACCTTCAGACAGACTATTTATGTAGGCTGCTTTATTTATCTTATGTTTTAGTCACCCTGTACCCATTATAGGTGCAGGGTGTGTGTAATGTAATTGTTTATAGTGTGTGTGTGTACTGTGAAATGTATTGCCTTCTCTCCTGTACTGCTGAGGTTTGCTACCAACTAGGTGGGTTTGGCTATGGAGCTGGTCTAGTGCCCTCTGTTGGTAGCAACAGCAATATGCACTACCTGAATTGCAAGACTGGTTCATTTGCATATTCGGGTAGATTTGCATATTGCTAATTCTGCAGGCAGGTGAGATATTTACTGTTAAATATTGTCTCCCCCCACCCCTTTAAAAATGTGCCATTGTGTTGTGATAAGTCACTGTGTGTTTCTTGATATGGTTTGACTGTTTGTGATTTTATTGAGGTTTCACAACAATGTTATTGTGGTGACTGTATTGGCTGGTCCCAAGGGAATAAAGGTTTTGACAGTTCTTCTTGATCCCTCTAAACGTAGCCTTGTCTCGTTATTGGAGGGAGCTGTTATAATCACACTGGGGATTGCTATGCTCTGCATGCTCCCCTGAGCTTGAGTCACTTAGCTCTTTTAAGAGCTTGTTCTTGACACGCTCTCCTTGGAGGAGGGGTCTTCACCACACAGTCCTGGATGCTGGAGGTTCATACAGGGTGGAAGGAAGAGTTCTTTTCCACACAGTCCTGGAGGACTGAAGCTGATCCAGGGTGGAAGGAAGACAGCGAGACTCCAGTCAAGATACGGCGGTTGCGGAGTCTGCGGTGGTTGTGGTGTCTGCTGCAGTGCTTGGAGTCCTCAGGAAGCGCTAGGAGCATCCATCAACGGAGGGTACTCAGTCGGAGTACAAGGAGCTCCGTTACATAACCATTACTTTATTTTCTGAATCTCTGACTCCCATCCATATCGGTTTCATATCCTAGCCATATAAAAACCTTCCTCTCTATATTAACTCCTCCATATTATAACACATTTTCTCTATATAAACTCACCCTCTCTATTCCTCCTTTCATTATAGTTTTTCTTCTGGACATGCTTTAACCCCCACCTGATAGCTTTTCCATTGTTTGCTTGTCCGATATCTATTCACTATCTATCCCTTCCATGATTCCAACTGATTTTCCCTGCAGGACACAGTGTTGCCACCTATTAGATAATATTATAACCAGAGAGTACAAAGAACACTCAAGTGAAACAGATAGTATTAAATAGTCAGTTTGTGTTTTACTTACTGCAAGAATCATATTATTCAAAATCTGAGTAAAGACGCTTTAATATCAGTGCAAGTGGTACAACAGTATAAAACATCAATGTCATCTAACTAAATTGAGCTAGTTTAACAAACAACGATAGGATACTTTTAAAATAAATTTCAACTTATAAATTTAGGTAAATACTGAACAAAGGCTTCTTATTATTTATACTTGTGCATGGTGAAAAAAAATTCAGTTCATCTGAATTGATTACTTTAAAAAAATGTTTCAAGCAATTTAGGTGCTTTCAATGTAGCATTTCAGTTTGGATGCATTTGGTCCACACAATAGTTTTAGGAAAAATATTCCAAGCAATGGAAAAGAGTGCAAAAATGTGCTTATTGGTGAACTGCAAAATCTATACATAATATAAATATTTGACATATGATTACCTCTTCTCACTGAATCTGTGATTTAAATGATGCAGAAATGAAGCACCCGTCACTTTATGCAATATATGTTTGTGCAATTTGCAACCCAATGCACAAGTCTACTACCAATAGCAACGTGTGCACCTCTCCAAAGCTTTTTTCACATCTTTATTCCTCAAACTGTAGATGATTGGGTTCAACATTGGAACAATGTTAACATACAATACAGAGAGAACTTTGGCCTCTTTCAGAGAATATGAAGAGGTTGGTTTCATGTACAAGCAAACAATCATCACATAAAAAAGTGTGACTACAGTGAGATGAGAGCCACAGGTTGAGAAAGCCTTGAATCTATTTTCACTAGAGCCAAGCATTAGAATGGCAGAAATAATTTGAACGTATGAAGCAAATGTTAACAAGAAACAGTTGAGGACAATTAGAAGTCCCTCACTAAATACAATTAGCTCAGTGGAAGATGTATCATCACAAGCTAGCTTCAACAGTGCTGTCAGATCACAAAAGAAATGATTGATTTTGTTGGAAGAACAGTAAGTAAAGGAAGAAATCTGAACACTTAGAGGAACAGCAGCTAAAAACCCAGCAAACCAAGCTGTGACAGCTAACAACTGACAGGCTCTTGCATTCATGAGCAGTTTATAGCTAAAAGGATGACAAATAGCTATGTAACGATCAAAAGCCATGGCTGTCAGTAACATGTACTCCATGCTTCCGAAAGAGTTAAAGAAGAATAGTTGAGTCATGCAGCCTTTGAAAGAAATTGTTTGGTCACCTGAGATAATATTGTATAGTAGGTTGGGAGTTGTGACTGTGGTGTAAAATATATCAAGGAATGACATGTTGCAGAGGAAGAAATACATGGGCTTTTGTAAGTGGCTATCCAGACAAATGAGTGTAATGATTACAAAGTTGCTCAGCATGGTTATAAAATAGATGAGAAGAAAGAGCAGGAAAAGAGGGACTTTCAGTTCCAATGAGTCAGATAATCCCAAGATCAGGAACTCGGTTACTTGACTTTCGTTTGAGACTTTCTTTGTCATGGCTTCTGTAAGGCACATAAAGTATAAAATAATCACGTAAAAAGTAGATTGAAACAATACTGAAACACAACAGTGATCCATCAGACTGACAAACATATGATTCGGCAAAAATGATTTTTGCTCTTCACAAGTCTAAGTCATATAACGTGCAAATTGTACTAAAGCTATATGGCTTACAAGTACAAATAATTGACATGCAATACATAATGGCAGAGAAAAGATCATAAAAGGTCATAAAGCACTGACCTACCCACTACTTAAAACATTAGATTGGAATAGCACATAATATGTAATTTGAGACAAATAATAGTTTTTTAACGGTCTAGAGAATGAGTTACCAATGATGGGATGGTGAATTTTCATTGTGCATTGTAAAATAAGGATAATAAAGAGGCTCTTTGAACCAAGGAAGTGTAAATTCTTCAGGACCCCTTAAGCTTTAGACCAAGACACAGTACTATGGTTAGGAAGACATTATATTCACCAGCAATTTTGCTTTTTAAATCTGCTGTTGTATTTTTCTTTTACTTAAGCCTAAAGAAGTTCTTTGTAATTCTACCTTAAATAGGGGATAGACAACAAGCAGATCTGCAGCTAAGGAAGTGCCAAGTTCTGGCACAGTTGAAGGATACTATTTGAACACTCTTTCCTTAGACAGGGCCTGTCATAAACAATATAAAAGTAGAAATAATACCAATAGTTCATAGTTCTCTGGAATTTATTTACCACAATTCACAACTAGCTTTTATGTTTTAGAAAGCAATCCATGAACTATGTTTAGTCTGAAAATAACTCTGCATTAACTCATATAGTTAATTACAAGAATGAAAACACAATAATTTGTTTAAAGAGGCAGTGTTACTCAACAATCCTTAAATGGAAGAAAGAACAGAAAATTCTGAAGGCACAAAAATAAAAAGCAGGCAGATCCACAGGAACCACAGTGAAACAGATGATACATTAAAATCTCAGAATTTAAAAATATAAAAAAGGTCAATCAGCCACAGCGTCCAAAGCAACAACAGATTTTTTTCTATATAAGTTGGGTGCTTGGATGCCTTAATGCAGTTCTTGCTGATTCACTCCGATAGTCACAAAGAGACTATCAACTTTCAGGGTAAGGACTAAAACCCGCTGAAAAATCCCATCAAGAAACCCCATGTACATGTACATAAGAAATCATTCTGACTCATTTATGAATTGACCTTTTCTCTAAAATTAAATTTTTTGACAGTTCTAAAGATTGTCTACAAAACATTTTTTAGTAAAATGAATTTCAAATTATTTACAAACATGACCTGTGTTTGGAGAATCCCATGAGCTGGCTGACCTCATTGTGACGTTCTTGCAAATGTGCATTACATTTAAATAGACATTTTTAGTACACTAATTTACCTATTTCAGTATTTGTCAATGACTGAACACTGATGGAAATGAGAGGGTTAGTAAATGTCTGTAGATTTTAAAGTGTGTCTCAATTCACTGGCAAGACGAGAGGAATTTTATAATCCCCTGCTGAGAAAGCAATGCATTTCATGATTAATCAATTAATTGATTAAACACTGGAATGGCATGAACTCTTAATGCAGAACTCATTATAAATATCCCTAAACATAGAGATCTGTAAATCCCAGATATAGGCCACCTGGAAAACTAAAAAGAAGATAATTCTTTTGATTTCCACCACGTATTTTTTTTTTTTGGTGAATAAAAGCACAGTGTTTTCATCATATACTGTTGTTTTGTGTGATAGTTTATAGAAATATTAAGAGTTATGCAATAATATAACCATCTTGCAATCTATTTGTATCACAACATTACTGCAAAGGTTGGTATTCCCCAGCCTCTCTTTAAGTAAAAAATTGTCTTGAGGCAGTCAAATATGCTCTTGCAGTAAAGTAAAACAAATATTGTTCCTCTTTATTGCGTCTATTTTGTGTAGTTACAAAGATAGTAAGTACAACACTAAATATCATAAAAGGTTAAAAACTCCATAATTATAAATTCAGTTATACAGATAGTATAGTTTAAAGATAGATTTCTGTTGATGAAATTCAACTCTTGTGATGTTTTGCCATTTTTAAGGCTAGCAAAGGATTATTGGAGTTGTAGCTCTACAACATCTGAACAGGATTGGGCAGAGAGATCTGCATACAATGAAAACCGATTTATCATGTATTTTTTTATCTATAGTCTCTATTTAAAAATGAAGACAGAACACTGACATTGAACACATACATTAATTTCTATAAAAAATACATTCACTAATTTTGCTAGTAATAGACCCTGTAAATGTTTTCATTTAGGATCCATAAAAATCTAAAGTTTCCTCTTGTAACTAGTTACTTACACATATGACAGTAATGTTATCTATCCCAGATCTTCAAGCTGCGTACAAGGAACACTTACAATTTATCAAACATGTACTGCACAAAAATAAAATAATAATAATAATAATAAACCAAGAATGATGATCATTGCACAAATGTTAGTGCATCTTGAAATGCTTTGGTTATTTCTATAATTAATGTTTTATACTACATATATTTATACAGAATGATATTCAGAATTAATCCCAAAAGATGGATTGATTGGGGAATGATGAATCACAATATTTCTAATTAGTATATCATTAGTTTTAGCTATTGGGAGCAATGATATATTGCTGTAAAGCACAAATGAGCAAGTTATTATAGAGGATATAATTGAGGTCTATATTGGAGGTATAACAAAAGTCATCCTTTATAATAAAGGTGTTTGTAACTAGGCTGTTGCTGGCACTGTAGCCATTGTATATGGGTATGTTTATAATGTTTCTAACCTGGATAGTTAGTTGATCTGGTTTTAATCTAATGCCCATTGTTACCTGTAAGGTTGTATTCATTTATATCCTACTAAATCTTTCTGAACAAGCACAGTTAACTGTCTTCAAATATATCGCATAAATTAATTGTTTGGTTTCAAAAGAACTCACTAATATTGTTGGTTCCTTAATAACCCTTTAACTGATCCAATAAAAGCATTATCAACTGTTACCCAAAACCTTAATCTTGTCCAGTGCACATGGATGGCTGCATCGTTTTGCTGTAGCAACCATAAACTTGAAACAAATAAATGATTCGGCTGTCGAAGTGAATGTGTCACACTGGTTATATGTGGTAGTGAAGGTAAAAAAAATAAAATAAAAATAAT